TCATTCTGAAGCAAAAAGCTTTTTTTGTTCACATTGACCTAAACTACAAATATATGACTTGGATGAGACAACTTGCGTCAGATACTTCGTATACATCGAACAAGCTGTCGTTGAGTGATCAATCGCCAGACGAGCGTCAAGTAACGAAAACATGAAATCGTTCACTTCTCGCGATATTCCTCCGCGTCTCCGCGTTCCCTTGAAAATTCGCAACGCGCCACGGTATATCATACGTAGCTAAAAACACCCGCATTGACGAAGAGAGCTTATAGAATAATGCATATTATGCATATCGCGAACAAATGCGTAACGAGAACGCTGCGGTATAATGGAGCTAAAATCCGAGACCAACAGCGAGGTGTATACATTAACGCTTAAAGTCAGACCGCCCTCTCGCCACCCCCTTCGGCAAATGCGGGCGCATTACCGCGTAGTTAATTCACCGGTGTCCATTGTGTGTATCGCGTTCTCCATCGCGTATTAAGTCCGTCCCTGTGAAATTCAAACGAGTGAGGTAAAATAAATCACCGGCCGGCCGGCCGGACCCAGCGTCAAGCTGACGGATCAAAAGCGAGAGCGGCGGACTTTATGGCCGATGGCGATGATATTATCGTCATTGTTTATTAACAATAGCCTGTCGCACTCGAAACGGTCGGAAATACATATAAGCAATACGACGTAAGCAATACGATGCGATATACGTTTTTCCCTGCGTGCCGAAATAAAATGATCCGCAGGTCTCGCAGGTTTAACAAGCCGCAATAAGTTTCGCGATAACGGCGCACTTCGGCCTGCGTTATTTTGGGCCTGAGACGACGGTAACAAATATTGCCTCCCCGTCCGTAGAATGGAGATCAATACGGAACGCGCGACGAGCGGATCGTATATTACCGGGCGGAAAACGGAGATTGATATAAACATTTGAGTATATTATCATTTTTACAAACGGCTATGAGCCGTTGAAAAAGTCAGGCGAAGTAGAACAGGTAAGGAGAAATTAAAATTGTCAAAGTAGAACAAGAACGAAAATTCTGACTCGTGAAGCGTATTTCTTTTTGTATGAAAGATTTAAAATAAAATTTAAGAAAGACTGCTCCTTGCTAGGTCTGACCAGACGAAAAGATGCGATTGAAGTTTGGAGCGATTTTCGAACGAAGATTAAACAATACTTTTTTCGAGTTTAACCTAAGTAAAAGAATCAAAATATGCAAAAAAGAATAAAATTGTGTCGATATAAGCATACATAGACAAGAAAAACGCAAAAGATAGTGTGCGTGCGAACGTTCGCACAAATTAGAATTTCTGTAGAGAACATCGGTAACGAACAAATGACAGCAGTTTTACACTTCGCGAAACGACGCACGTTAAAACAAGAAAATAATTTATTGAAAACGAGTGCCCGGAAGATCTCCATAATCAACAATGTTCGAGCGCGCGCGAATATAAAAATTTCTACCGACGATCTCGGCGCTCTCGTTTTCAACAAACTATTTTTCTCTATGTTCCACACGTGACTAAGATTGAAACTTGGCGCGTACGTACGTAAGTATGGCACTTTAACTTAGACACTTTATTGCCCAACTTATCCAACTTATGAGGCAGCGTTTGTTGAATTTTCTCGAGACAAGGACTGTGCAGTAACGTGCACGTAAGAAGCCACTTTTAAGATTACTCGCTATTATGAAGCAAAGGGTAACAACGTTCGAAAGGCAATTTCCTGCGATATTTCTCCCCACGTCCCATAACTATACCGATTATTGCCGGTGACTATATACTGTTTACCCTACTTCGCCAAACTTCCTGCGGACGAGCGACGCGACCATAATCGACGGAGACGACGTCATTACGCGGACCCAGGAGGGCGCAGCGGAGGATCGATTCGTGTCGCCGATTAGTTCCGAGCGTCGTTCGATTTCCTACGGTAAAATTCCGCGAGTCGTTAGAGAAACGCCTCGGGAATAACGATCGATTCGAACGACTGTTGACATTCGGTCTGCACGGTCGAACGAGCAGTTCGGCAGCGCTCGCGGAGTTAAAACGATGGGTTTTCCGTTTCCAATCAGGCAGTAAGTTTTGCGGCGAGCGAGCAAAGTTCGCGCATTCGTTTAGGTTTTTCGGTTGACAGCCGCCGAGGAGTAATGGTAGGTCAGTTTAATTAAAAAGTTATGCCCGACCCACACATATACACACACATATATATATATATATATATACACACACACGTAGAAGGTCGGTTCTTAGCGGCGGCCAGCCGCGAAGCACGGAACTTCCTGGAGGAATATTAAAGCCGAGGAGGAAAAAAAGTAAGCTCGAGCCGGATCTGCATACATGCAAATTATCATGCGGAAAATACGATTATGCTAAACGAGCCGCCGCCGCGCCGTCGTATTTTTAATACCGATGAGCACTCTATCGGCGTTAAACGCGATTCAAATTAAGAGCGACACGAGGATTAAAGAATAAACGAAATATCATCGTACGCGTGAACGATCAACAATCTCGCGTAGCCTTGATGAGACAAGCATATTTCGCGCAACTCGTACGTTCGATGACTCGGGGGATACGCGCGAAGCAGGTAGGACGAAGTAATTTTATCTTATTTGTTTGTCCGCAGCACACCGCGCGCACACAGGGAAGTCTGTAATCAGCGGATAACCACGATAATTAGACAATTCCGGCTTCGTAACCGCGCCCAGACTCGCGCGCCGATTGCATATGCATTACCCGTACATATTGCAAAGCGCAATTGCTTAATTGGGTCACAAATTACAATCGGTATTTGTAATTGCCTTAATTAAGCACAATTTTCTAATCGATTGCGTCTGAAATTGCAAATTTTGACCGTAAATCGTTACAGTAATTAAATCGCAAGCGTCACGGACGACGATGCGTCCCTATGCGGTAGCATCCGGCGATCACATCGAGTAAACACTCCCGATGAAACGACGTCTCGCTGCGCGCAAATACATGAAGAGCGAATTTTCCACGGCTGACAAAATCGTGGAAGAGTGGGAAAGTGCTGAGAGCGAGCGGAGAGAACGAGAGAGAGAGAGAGAGAAAGAGAGAAGCGAAGCGCGGTGAATAAGTTTTCCTCGCGTGAAACGCAAGTTTCGGTAGGCCGCCCCGTCCACAACCCCTTACTTCTCTTATGTGCACCACATGCCAACCGTAAATCAATTCTCGAAATTGTTTTCGCGCGCCTGCACGCCTCCGCTCGCTAAACTCGATTCGTCGGAGTGCACAAAGCGACGAAAACTACTGGCGTAAGAGACGGTTCATAACGAATACCAGGGCGAATATTTAGGAAGAGATCGTCTAATCGGAGTAATAGTCTGAATACGCTACCGAACGAGCCGTGAATCTACACGCGCGCATACGAAGCGCGAGAGAGCGCTGCTCTCGCTCTCTCTCTCTCTCTCTGTTAAATGATATAATCACGCTAAAAGGGCAATAATATATTACATATAATATTATTACCGCATGTTATACTCTAGCATCCATTTAATATGCCATCGTTCGTCAGCATTTATCGCTCGATTACAGTATATTAATTTACGTTACCTTTACGAACTTAATTATGAATAAGTCGACCTAGAGAGTTATTAACTGGGATACGATTCTACCATCCACCGCTCTCGCAACCTTTTCACCTCGGCCCCTATTTATTCCGAGCATTAATTGCGGTGATTTTTCGCCAAGGCCGGACGTTAACGCATTAATACAACATGTCGCCGCTGAGTATACGCAGCGCGATGTTAAAACGCGCGGGGCGCGGATTTATCTGACCATTTGGCCATCGCGATTGGACGGTAAGTTGTAACAATACCACGACCTGCGTGGCGCCGGTCGGGGCACTAAATTAATTCGTCGACGGATCGAGTGGGCGCGAGCCCATTTTTGCTATTTGCGAATTCGCGAATTTTACCCGCCCGGGAATAATTAATTTTCAACTTCGCTCTGAGAGCGGGCGCGACCCGCTCGCGAGCATTATCCCCCCCCCACGGCTGTACAAGTAATACGTACATGTTTAGCAAATGGCGTCCGACAAGTTCAGCGCGCCGCTAATACCTGGCCGGTTCCATTTAGTAATTGCTACCTAACGTGCTCGTCCAACTTATTACTGTCTAGGCGCTGTCTACACCGTGGCGTTTCGCTGCCGCAGCGGCCAGCTGCATGTATATTCATCGAGTATTGATTGCGAGTGTATGGAATGGACAGTAATGGAAATTTCGCCGATTTCGCGTTAAACCATCGGACACCGTCAGAGACCGTCAAAACACGCGCGCGGGAACAACGACAATTATAGCCGTATAATATTAACATGATAATTGATATCAATGCAAGTAATCACAAAAGGAACGAGGTAAGCTACGCCGTGCGAAAGTATCGGCGCGCGTGTAACGGTTTATCACTTTGTCATTTATTCCCACTTATTCGTGCAAAAGTGTCCTTTCGTAAATGAAACGCCAATTTCCACCGTACAAAGTTGCTTGTAAAGGCTTTAAAAGCAATTAATCACTTTCCTCGCAACATGAAATTCGAAACCGAAAAGTGCCGCATTAATTTATTCATATTAGTTGAGTGGAGTTATAAAGTGGATTATAATATTGTAGGTTTGGGATTAAAAGAATTCATTTCAGCGTGTGAAAGGTTGGCTCACGCGCGGTAGGTCGAAGATACTATTCCGGTGTGTGCGTCGTCACATGCTAAACATTTATATCCCCTCACATTAATTTAAACAGTATATAACACTACAACAGTCGCGAGTAGGTTCTTACTGGCCAGTCTTTCCTTGATTTTTTTAGTAACCGACAGAATTTGTATAAATATAAGGTTTAATAATCTTTTTCTCGGAAAATATATAATATCTCTCTCTCACATCCAAAGAAAATTTTCGACACTGGTAAAAGTTAATATATTAAACGTGAGAAAAAAATATTTTAGTATCACCAAAGTTATGATCACAACTCACTGCCAATGTCTCGAAATTCTGCTTGCAGATACTGGAGTACGACCGGAAGCGGTCAGCAATACGTGACTGACGTTCCGCGGGATAACAAGGCGGCGATCATCAACAGCATTGCCTCATCGTATGCACTACAGAGGCCGAGGTTCCCCGTGACAACGGTGTCCCCTAATGCGAAAGTCACCGACGACAAAATGCGATACATCTATCAGGGGAAGTTCGACTGGCCGTATTATCAGACGTACAGGCAATCGGCAGAGGCGCAGAAGGCGCAAATCTTCGAGGACATCCAGAGGAAGATGGCGAACGCGTCGAGCGTGTCGAGTATGGGTTATTCGTTCGTAAACACGACCAACTTGGCGGACCAGCGCCAACACCGACTCAGAATGAAGCATCACGGGTTGGCATCCAAGGGCAAGCGAGTTAGAACACGTGAGTGCGAATAATAAAGATCTACTTTGACGATATTGACACTTTTCAACTTCTCCCCTGAACCTTTAATTCTACAAACTGAATTTGAATGCTACTTTCAACAAGCTATTTTATATATTTTGACGATAAAAAAGCGAAAACAGAAATTGAAGACATCATCAGGATCAAAGTAGGGGATATATTATATTATATTAGAATTGAAGCTGAATCTATTTTGCTATTTTAGCTCCTACTGCTATCTAGCTCTCTGTTGCAGAATTAAAGGTTTAACATAGAGCTAAAATTTCGACTCGGCGTCCGATCTTAATTTTTATTGGTTCCTCTTCGATTTATCCGCGTAGCGATATTCCTATCGCGACATTATTCGCAAAATTTCTCCTTACTCGGCAACACAATAGCTGCATTCTTTCGGTTACATTTGGTCATATTGGTTATATTGAAATAAATTTATATCATTGGCCTTTTTGCTAATTTGGGCAAATGTCACTTGCAGCGCCTGTATTGTAGTAACAACTATATCATGCTATATCACAAATGATATCTCTCATGATAACGGATTTTTTAATCGCGTGGACCAGAATGTGCCGAGAGAGGCAAGCGACCAGGAAGCGAGACACTATATCGCTGCGATACGATCAATAACCGCCACCCAATGGTTACCGCTAATCCGGCGAAGAATGATTACGGACATAATTCAAAATGTTTTCGATCCTTCGCTTTTGCTATCTAGTCGAGCCTCTAATTAACTCTTTAAACGACACGGCGCCGGAAGGACCGAACAAACCCCCGCCGCAGTTTTTCATTGACGGCAGCTAATGCGAAAGCCGAGCGCTTTCAATAGCCATATTTCCCGCGTAAATGATCAAAGCGCGCTTCCACATTTTCCTCGCGCTCTTTCTCTGTCCTTTCCTTCCTTCCTCTCTTTCTCTCTTTCTGCCGCATCCTCTCCTATCTCTCGTATTCGCTTGTCCACTCTGCACTTTCTGTCTCGCATTTGCCCGCCGTTCCGGTTTCCATGAAATGTTGACTCAATCCTTTCCTTGTCTAACAGCGTATGAACCTCTCGCGTACGTTCAACAACGCATGATAAGCGTTACCGTTAGTTATCGCAACGTGATGGTCAATTTCTTTTCTCCATCATTAATGAACAACACGGCAATCCAATATAAGTATATGATTCCAACGATTAATGACGAGGAAGATAGGAATAAAATGGTTTCCGCCTCGATCTGATATTCATACCGTCATTGTATACCTCAAAGAAGCAATTCGCGCTTATCCCGAAATCGGATCGTTTCCCCTCCGCCGATAGATAACGGAATCGGTCTTGCTCAAAATTCAACATGGGAACGTCGTTTGTTGCGGATCCTCGGATTCCGACCGAATTAAATCTCACGGCGCAATTAAGTCTCGAATTAAATTCTTAAGCTCCGCGCGCTCGCGCCTTCATGAGAGAAAGAGAGAGAGAGGAAGGGAGCCGTTAAAGCGAGGCTTTAAAACTGAAGCCAAGAGACCTCCTCTATTTCCATCGCGGCCACCTATCCCGCAGATTACAGTCACATATCTACTCCGGGAATTCCCGTGCACGTAGCGAGATTAGACGTGGACCCGTGGAGAGTCCTTTCGAGCGGAATAATTGCATTCGTGATTCCAGGTGCACCCAGAGATTGCAAGGTCGGCGAATGGGGTCCGTGGAGCGCGTGCAGTCGCAGCTGCGGGGTAGGCGAGACCCAGAGGACGCGGAAGGTCACGATAAAGCCCCGTCGAGGCGGCGCACCCTGTCCGCCGCTGAAGGAGACCAAGTGGTGCGGCAGCGTCAACCCGTGCTCGGAAAGCAAACCGATCATAGACTACCATTGGTAGTCGTCGTCCGCGTCGGACCCCTTCCACGAACACGTGTACCAAAGTGACTCGCTCGCGGGCGAAAGGTCGAGCGGGCAGACGGTAATTTTCGGCGAGACGAGCGAGGAGCGCGACCGGAAGATACGCCGCGCCGCGACGAGGATGATTAACGGCGACGGGACGCGACCGGTGAGGGAGGATCGTGCGACGAGAAATAACACGAGTATCTTTTGTATCGAGAGTCGGATCTCACGATGATCGAACAACGCGCACACGGGAAAAAAGAATTAACTCCCCCAGCCAAAAACTAGCTGTCCATACGATACAACTGAAATTTAGTTATCAGAGTTACCTAGTTTCTAGCTGTGAGAGCCGATTCTTATGGCTATAGTCGTACACAGCTATGTCACTATAATCGTACACGGAAAAAAAGAATTAGCCCCCTCAGCTAAGAACTAGAGCTAGTGACTAAGTTTCAGTTGTATTATATGGACAGCTAGTTTTTAGCTGCAAGAGCTAATTCTTTTTTTCCACGTATTTACGGGGGAGACTTATGCGCGAAATCCGTTTTGGACGATCTGTGATCCGCGACAGGACTCGAAACGAAGTCCCGTCTAATTTGAAGCACCAGTGTGACTGAAATGTAAGATGACGTTATAGAAGAAGAATCTCGCGTTACATTATAATTGTACACAGAGGAGTGAAAATTACATGCGACAGTGAGCGGCAGCGCGCGATTGTACCTTCCTCGTTAATATCTTATTGTCAGATCTGTCATCTTGCGGTTTATCATCAGTAATTTAGGTACGTTCATACATGATAATCTAATGAGAGTGTATTACGGATGAAAATTGGAAGATTGCACTTTGCGAACGAGGCTGCAAAACATGACGAACTGTGTACGTAATTATCGAAAAGTTTCACGTTGCAATGAGATTTCCCACCTAAGTTTCATCGCCAATCACAGATCGTCCAGAGTGAGTTTCAAGAGGCATTTCGCATAGCTTGACAATATATATTACACTCGAGAAACTTCGTAAAAAAAATATCGCGGACTTTTAAGATAAATGAACTAATAATTAACACAGCGACCATTGGCAACGGACGATGAGATGCATTTTCTCGCAGGCAACTAAAATAATAATCATGCGCGAATGACACGCCGATATAACAAATAAACTCGTTGTAATTGAGTCTTGCTAAATAGCGGCTGTGATAAAGATGAGGTTGAACAGAATCGCGCATTCAAATACGCCGTTCTGTAATATTTACGATCGCGATCTGATATTTCCAACCGCCGTGTAATTTCGCGACGAGAGAGCAGCGAAACATTATCATTCGGCGATTTTACCCTGCTCGTTTATATCCATCGACGTTTGATGTCACGCTCACATCGCAGTACACCTATGCGCACATCTCGCTCCAGACTCCGAGCATTGAAAACACAAAGATTACCAAAGAGAAATCCAAATAGCTGCCACGCATTGTATCGCGTTTCCACGCGTATGACTAAAATGCGTTTGAGGCTCAATTTTCACTCGTCCGAACGTTTGGATGTCCGGCTCGATTTCGACTCTTTTTTTTTCCTATTTTTTGTTTTCAAAGTAATTGAACAATCGACGCTTGTTTGCTGAATTTGTTGTTACCGAAATCACCATAAAAAAAAAGGTAAAAGAGTGAGGGAGAGAAACACGCAGCGCAGATGCCAAACATATCTGTCTGGAATGCATCTATCCCTCGCTGTAATGCGAACTGAATGAGAAAAAGAAAAATAGTGCGAGCTTTATCTTTAAACTCGTGAAAAAAAAAACTATTCAACCGGAAATAACAACAGGCGACGCTCTACGACGGGTGAAAAAAGAATGATCTAGTCATATCGAGACACGTCTCTCGCGCGCGCAATCGCCAAAGAGATTTGGATTAATTTCTATACGTTAGTTCGATGAAAAAATCGCCGTCCGAAATTAAATTAATCCTCGACTTCTGCTCGCGTCAAAAGCGGGTTTAACGATCGCCCGGGACGAGGTAATAACACGTCTCGGCTTTTGCACGCGATCGAAAGAAGAAATGAACCTTTGTATAATTGGAAAATTGGCTCGACTTTCCGGAAGAAAAACGTTAGGTGCAATTAAGCTGACAGTTTAATCGCCGTACAAATGACGGACCGCGGTGTGATCGGCGAACTGCACGGTCAGGTGCGAGGAAATTCCTCGGCGAAACTTAACCATCGCGTGCAACATCGAAGTCTGGCCGAGATTAAGCCGACATTCCCGAACGTACGTTACTTAAAGCGAAGTTTTTATCGGACCGCTATTCTCCGCCGCGAAACGATCGCGGAGGCGCGAGAGTCGCAATAGCGTACGTAAGAGAACACCGTCGGAATCTCGTGGATTGGATGATAAACTTTCTTCGCTCTTATTAACATCGTTACTAGCCTCGTGTTTCTTTTACGCGCCGATTGAAACTGTCAATTCCTAATTATACATATTGCCATTACGATGTAAACTTTAGATAGTAGGGACGAAATTTAGCAGAGTCCTTGCGCACAATACAAGTCACTAACGAAGTTAATGATGCAATTAGCATTTTAACGAGAGATATTCTGATTCAGATATTTATATATATTTTTTTAATCTCTTTCCGTTTTATAATCTTTATCTCGATATGGGAAAAGCAGGAAGATTCTGAGCTCTCTCTCTCTCTCTCTCTCTCTCTCTCTCTCTCTCTCTCTCCCTCTCTTTCTCTCTCTCTCTTTTTCTCTCTGTCTGTAACTTTCGTTTTTTACTGTTTTTGGCACTGTTCCCAAAAATTAACTCGAGAAGATTCGAAACGTCATGCCAATGGTCGAAGAAATCGAAATACTTCCCGCGCGGAGAATGTAAGTTCGGCGTACGCCGAACGTATCGGATAAACGTCAGGACAATTTCCAGCGCGCGACGCGCGCTCGCATAGAATCCTGGACAAGATCTCGCGTAGGTGTTTTTGCATAGCGTCTCCTCGCTCGACGACGCCGAAAGATACCAGAGAATAGAGAAGGAACCTATGAAGCGGGTTTCGCAAACGTTTTTTCTCCACTGTCACCGAGAGGACTGCGTCTCTCTTTCTCTGTCCCTCCTCTTTTTCTCTCGTTCCTTTTCTTTCTGTCCTTATCTCTTTCACTCTTTCACTTCTTCACTCTCACCCTCACTCTTTTTCACTCTCTCCTCCCTCTCTCTCTCTCTCTCTCTTTCTCTCTCTCGTGGCGTGGTAGGGAAATTTTTACAAAAATATCATCAGGTACGTCTTAGGTGAGTGTATTATATCTTAGGCATAAATTTAACGATAATAATTAACAACTAACGTCTAATTGTAATTCGTTAATTATTAGGCCCGTATTATCGCGACGCGGAGTTCCGCGTTGTTCTCGTTGGGGGAGGAACGCGAAGGTGTAGTTTGTGAGAGTGAAACGTCGGAAGGGGATGAATATGCAGGTGCAACGCTGAATTCCGTATGCGACGCATGTTGACGCACGGCTTGTCCTTCACGTATAGCGTCTACCGTACAGCCGCTGTTCTCGTCGAACGCTTGACGCTGAATGCGCTCGGCGCAATCGTCACACTTAACACGATCAATTAAATTAAATTAAAGTCATTAAAAAAAAGAAAGTAGCGATAATTTCTCTAATATAAAGGAATAGCGTATGTGAACGTGAAGAGCATTCAATTGGTACATACATGCCACGAGAGTTACGCACGGTCGCACCCAGCGCCAAACGCCCGGCGAGAACAGAGGACTGCATAGCTAAAGTATTACACAACTGTACAAGTTTTCATCTCCGAAACGAAAGGGATTGGTTTGCGATTTCGTGGATGGATATGAAGGACGCGTGAGCTCTGTTCTGCCGGTCTGCTGAGCGCCGCCATGATAAAATATCGTGTAAATTTTGGAAATCGATTTCGCGCGTGATGTAATAATAATTTATGCGCCGCGCCGGCTCTCGCGCGGAACTCGCGAAATGAGCGCGCCGCCGGCCGCGAAGAAGAACGGTATGCGCGCGAACGTGGCGCATTCCGTGTACGCGCAAATTCGCGTGCCACCGCATAGTAATATCTACGTTTGTTCATCGTGCCGTAAACAGAAATGAAAGGCCAATCTTCGCGGTGGTAATGAGTAAATATGAGGAGAGCTCGATTGCGCGTGAACAATTTTAAAAACGCGAACTACTGCGCGGTTCCGTCACGTATCTCCTCCCTCGCCCCGAAATCCCCACTTCCCCTCCGCCCCGAAACTCCATTATCGCGTGTATTAATTCATAAATAATATTAATACAAACTTATGAAGAAAATAGCGCGTCCGCGTGCACGTGTTACGCGCGGAGAAACGCTCATAAAGAGTTGGACAATACTCGCATAGAGTAAGACGGTATATCCTTTTTATACAAACGCAATTTCTGCTCGTGCTAAGATCTTTTTTTAATCTCCCAACTGTGCGAGTCACGATCTTCTTAATAATAGGTATAAAAAAAAAAGAGCGACAGATATAGGAACGTACGGGATGTATTAGCTGCAGGATTTTCCGGTTCAGATTTTCGGTATGCCAAAACGAGAGGACCGCCCTCGAGATTTTCTCCACAAAAGAATCGACTCTGAATTCGCCGAAGGATCCCATCTCGTTAAAATTACGCTCGAGAGTTCAGGCGTGCACTTTATAAGAGAGATGCACCGTTCTGCGCTCTCTCTCTCTCTCTCTCTCTCTCTCGCCTATCCCTCAAGCACGAATATATATAAGACATGTATACAGGAAACACGCGGCGGGGGTAATCTTAATTACGGCGGTACTTATGGTCTCTCTTTCTCTCTCTCTTCTTCACTCACTCACTCACTCACTCACTCTCTCGCTCTCTTTCTCTCGTATTACGTTAAAACCTGATCGCCCGCGATAATTAGTGGTTGATCTTCGCCAGACAGAATCCCTTGAAAGCCGTCGTTGGCGGGAGAGCGCGCAGTCGAGATAAAATATCGGGCCGGGCTAATCCCCGAGACGGAAATCTAGCCAGCGTATTGTAAAATCTTTCATGGAACAATACCGCACGGCGACATGAANATATATATATATGAATAGGAAGGAAGACCGAGCCGTTGCCGTCTCGCAGTTAGATGCATTAAGGATAAATGTTTTGTAAACTAAAACGGGAACGCTTTCACGATGAGAGCTTCTGTGACGCGGGAAGAGGAGAGGAGGAGCGGGTATGCTCGAAACATCAGCGAACCGAACGATGGATGGCTATAAATTTCATGCCCCCCGGATAAGAAGTACCCACGTTTCACTTGACACAGTGGAATCAGAGTTCGCTTCTGCCGGGAAGAACGCCAATAATTCGAAATATGATCCGTTGTTCGTTTAATTTTACACAATTTAAAAAGAAATTACTTCACCGCAAAGCTCCGGTGGCTCTTTTCATGCCACTCGGATATCACGGGTATCATTTTGTGCTCTCTCTCTCTCTCTCTTTCTCTCGTTCGAGCGCCTAATTACGTTAATTACGAGTACTTTCGTTCACTGTGACTTTCGAAGTAATTTACGCAACATTCGTGCATCGTCGTATCCTCTCTACGGCTCTCTTGCCTTGCGTTTTACCGAACAATTGTCCATCCGCTAAGTAACACGCGAACGCGTACACCCCCTCGCCCTTCCCTCTTTCGCGCGTTAACCAGTCCACGTGACAATGACAAATCAATGACAGATCAATGGGAGGAGTAAGAGGAGTGCCACGATGATGATTCTGTACAAGTCACTGTGCATTCTAGCCCCTAAGGATAGCCGATAGGACTAGAGATTAAGCCAAAGCATGTAGCGATGTATAACACATAAGTTTATATTACATAATAAAATGTGTCGAGAAAATAAGCGGGCTCCCTTCTCGATCTTCGAATACATAATATTTTTCACTTGCGACGTATAAATGGTATTCGTATATAATAAAGTAGCAATTATTTCAGGAATCCCCGTGTATAGTCTCTTGCAACCCATTTTTCTGTTTTTATCTCTTTCGTACGTGGCGCGACGAGACCTGTTTCCCGATAAAATTGGTAGTTCCACCTAACAATTTCGTTAGCTGTTGAAAACGATAAAACAGCGCAATATGAATCGCGTTTCCTGTAAAATAAAAAAAAATAATGAATTTTCGTCTATGCAGATTAACACGTTCGCCGCTACTACTGCATTTTAAAAACCGCTCGCGCCAAAAACTCCATCGTATACGATCCAAATAATTTTATTCGATATATTACATATATTGTTAACGGTGTATAAAAGATTATCACTTTCTTTCGCGCGAGCGTATACGCAACGCCCGTTACAAGGACGTAACATTATATCCGCGTGACGAAGTTGGACGTGCTGAAGAAATGTTTCATCATAAAACTCACACGGCATTATTTGTCCATGAGAATTGTTCGCATTTGTCCATAAAAAAATTATTTTTATTCACCCCGCAATAAAGGGTTATAACCAAATAAGAACTTGGAGTTTAAAATTTAAGAATAGAAATTGAACAAATTTTGACACATCAGCAGTGCTATGAATGCTTTTATTTTATTTCTAAGCGAAATATTTATGTCCGCGATTGTCCCCGATTTGTTAATGTTTGTCTATCCATAATTCTTGTCCATCAAGCAAAAATAAAATCGGAAGTAGTCATGACGATCATTATCCGTTTTCCTGTATTTGTTTGTTAATTATTCATTCGTCATGTACTCGTTTTTGCTTAGCGGACAAGAAAAATGGGAATGATGGGTGAACAAACGTGAACAAGTCGCGGGAAATCGTATCCCGCTTAGAAATTAAAGAAAAACACTTATAGAGATGCTGATGTTAAAATGTGTACAACGTTTTCATTTGGTTATAATTTTTCCATGGACGAATCGTGGACAAACGAATGCCGCGTGGATCTTATAAAAAGTCGCATTTCAAGGTAGCGACTTCACAAACCTGATATTGGATTTTTTTGCACGTCTTTGACGTAAAGAATATTTTACGACAACTCTTAAAGCACCGATATCGATAATAACAGCCGTTACTGTCATATTACAGAGCCCACAGGATGGACTTGATGATGAAAGCCGCCGTAAGTACGCGATTACATCGTCGTAAGTGTGTAACTATGCCGGAAGTAAGCAATTTCGAAGCAAATTATAGAGTCGAACGAGTTCTCTCTCGTCTACTCTTTTTCACCCTCGGTCCCATCTCACCACCACCACCGCCATAGGGAAACTCGTCGTCGTCGGTGATGGTTCGCAAATTCACGCTTCAAGAAAATCGATCGTTATGGAGATAGCGTCCTCTCCCCCGCATAATAGCCTTTTAACTATATTACTCTGAAAATTCTGGTTATCCTTTTTATCGCGCAACAACGTAACACGAGTTCACGTTCGCCGCATACGCGACATAACATGGGAACCTACACAATTTTCCCGTCGAATCACTGCCGAAACAATGAAAAATGAATCTCCCGAAATTTCACGAGCTCACCGCTATTAAAAAGCAAATGTCACGATTATTACTAACGTAATGTCAGACTTCAAAATATCGAAAACAATTTTTCGACAATACTTGTAATCTATACGTATCTCATCGGAAAGCGACGGCAATATTCTGAAATAGTTTCGTCCATGAATAGTCGTAGGCTGAACGAAGACGAAACAGCAGGTTTCTCTCTTCGACGCATACAGAATATAACAAACACCGCGAGCGGAAGGCGGCGGTATTGTTAGCCTTTGTCGAAACGGCCGTTGAACCCGCGTTGAATCCCATTTTTCACAAGCAGCTCGCTATTCTTGTCTACTCGCCGCCGGTCGGCGTAATTCGGAAGAACATGCAACGATTCTATTCATCTTTCACCACTCTCTCTGCTCATCCTACTCGACAGACTTGTTTCCCCTTACTACCTACCCTACGTCCTTCTCCCCGACGCTCGACAAGTCCAACGAGTGGCGGTGAGCCCTGAAGAGAGGCAAGGCAGGTAAGTAGATACGTAGGTCGTACCGAATCCTAACTACCCGCTTTCTCTTTATTTTCTCGAATCTTCAGCTTCGTTCCCGCTCCACGGCGTGCACTTTATTATGTCGTACATTTTACGAAGGACCAAGTTACCGAGAACGACTCTCTCTCCCTCTCCCTCTCTTCCTTC